AGGCGCCGAGCCAGCCTCACCTTCTTGCCAGTGTAATATTTGATGCTGGTTCTCCTTGGCTCCCAAGTCCCCCACATTCTCTCAGTTTTTTCCCCGCCTCTCTGGCTGCTCCTTTGCTGGTTCTGCTTCATCATCTCTACCTCCACCCACTGGAAAGTTCCAGGGCACAGTCTTAACTGCTGTTGCCCTCTATCTGTATTCATCTCCCTCTGTCTCATCCAGGTCCATGGCCTTAAATAATATCCACTTGCTTTGCCTCCCAGATCCAAGGCTCCCATGCTGATCTTTTCCCTGACCTCCAGAGCCATAGACCTAGAGCTAGCCCTGTTTGTCCTCTTAGATGTCTAGCAGACCTCTCAAAGGTCACTTGTCCACAAATGATCATTTGACTTTCCAACCCAAACCCTTTTCTAATCTTTCCCAGTTCAATTTATAGCAATTCCATACAACCAGTCAGTTGTTTAGGATGGAAATGTAGGCATCATGCTTGATGCCTCTTAATGCCCCTCTTTCCCTGTTCAGTGCATCTACCCAGCCTAGGCCCTGTCCTCGCTTGCCTGGACAAGGGCAGGAGCCTCTACTATTTTTTATTTTTAGAGTCACCTAATGTAAAGTGCAGTAGCATACTATGCAGTCTCAAACTCCTGGGCTCAAGAGATCCTCCTGCCTCAGTCTCTCAAGTTGCTAGGACTATAGGCACATGCACCACCTTACCTGGCTTTCTTTTTTTTTTTTCTTTTTTGAGACAGAGCCTCAAGCTGTCCCCCTGGGTAGAGTGCCGTGGCACCACAGCACTTTCTGGTTGCAGCCGTCATTGTTGTCTGGCGGGTCCGGGCTGGGGATTCGAACCCGCCACCCTAGGTGTACGTGGCTGGTGCCTTAGCCGGCTGAGCTATAGGCGCTGAGCCTGCCTGACTAACTTTCTTTCTCTCTCTCTTTCTTTTCACAAGGGCTTGCTCTTTCTTCCCAGCTAGAGTGCAGCAGTATTATCATAGATCGCCGCAACCTCAGATTACTGGGCTAGAGCAAGCCTCCTGCCTCAGCTTTCCAAGTAGCTGGGACTTTTCTACTGTTTGTAGAGACAGGGTCTTAGTCTTACTCAGGCTGGTCTTGAATTTCTGGCTTCAAGTGATCCTCCCACCTCAGCCTCCTTAGTCACTGGGATTACAGGCCTAAATCATGTCACCTGGAAGGACTCACCACTCTTACTATATAGGTGTACATAGTCCTTCTCCCAAAGTAGATTAAATTATGGATTTTGTTTGTTTGTTTGAGGCAGTTTGTCTTCCTTGCCGTGGTGTCACACAGCTCACAGCAACCTCAAATTCCTTGTTTCAGTGATTCTCTTGCTTCAGCCTCCCAAGTAGCTGGGACTACAGGTGCCTGCCACAATGCCCTGCTATTTGTTGTTGCTGTTGTTGTTGCAGTTTGGCCAGAAGGGGCTTTTGGGGGGGAAGGGGCTTTCTGAGGCAATAATCTAACACTCCACCCTCAGTATATCCGGCCAGCACCCTACTCACTGAGCCACAGGCGCCGCCCTGCCCTGCTATTTTTTTGGTTGTAGCTGTTGTTTAGCAGGCCCGGACCAGGTTCGAGCCTGCCAGCCCCTGTGTATGTGGCCCCTGCCCTAACCACTGAGCTACAGGTGCTGAGCCTCCAGCTATTTTTTTTGTTTGTTTGTTTGTTTTTAAGAGCTGAGGTCTTGCTCTAGCTCAGGCTGATCTAGAAATTGTGAGCTCAGGCAATCCACCCTCCTCGGATTACAGGTGTGACGGCCAAGCAATTTAAATTATCTAAACAAAGGCCAGCCCACTTCCCTCCCTGCTCAAAGGCCTAATGCTTCTCATCACAGAGAACAAAACCCATATTCCTCTCTAAGGTTGCTACAGACTAGTTTTGCTGATCTCTTCATTCCCTCCACCAATCATAGACACCTGGACTTAATGTTTGGTTTTATTCAGTGCCTGTGCCTCAGGGTCTTTATACCGGCTGATTTCTCCACCTTAAAATGTCCCTCTTCTGGATCTCCCCATAATGGCTCATCCAGACTGCATCTTGATATCACATCCTCTGAGACTCCCCTCCCCAAGGGTAACCCATCGCCTTCATTCCCGGGTATTTTCCTGTCGGCTGATAAGTCCAGTCTGTCTCCAGGTACCCTGTACACTAGAGCCTGGCCTGCAATCCACAGAGCAGCCTCCAGAGACAAGCTCTGACCATACCATCCTGAGAGCGTTGCTCTCCCCTAAGCCGACAACGATCTTCAGCCTGCACGTGATACCCGGCAAAGGGAGATGGTCTCCTGTAGCCGCGGAGCTAGCTGCTGGCGGCGCGCTCCCCGCTAGAGGGCAGTCATGCCCAGCTCTGCTGGGACTTGAGCTGGGAAGGTACTCGTTGGGCCTTTGGCTGAGGCCTCTCCCGCAGGTCCCGCGCTCTTTGGAATCCTCAGAGAGGCCTAATTCCACTCTCACCACTTCCAGGGATTGTGAGGCCAATCTTAAGAACAGGTTTAGGGCGGCGCCTGTGGGCTCAAAAGAGTAGGGCGCCGGCCCCATATGACGAAGGTGGTGGGTTCAAGCCCGGCCCTGGCCAAAAATTGCAAAAAAAAAAAAACCAGGTTTAGTGGGTCAGGCCCAGGGTTGGCCACATCATCTCTGGGTCCAACAATCGGGGCGCTCTGCCCACAGTCGGGCGCATCACCGGGCCCCCGTGGTAGGGATCACTATTCGCAAATGGATAAGATAAGGCCACCGCGTGGAAGCGAACTGCCTCGTGTCATGCAGCAATGCAGGATCAGGTCAAACTGCCCGGGGCGTCGAGGGTCTGAGGCCAGACCTTGTCTGCCTTCCAGCTACAGTCCCACTCTTCTCCCTATGAGCAGCTGTGGAGCTGGGAGAGTAAGCCGGGGTTATTCTGGCCGCGAAGCCTGAGAGGCTGGGCCGTTTCAGCCTCGCCCCTCCCTCATTGGCTGCGTCGCGGGGAGGCGGGGCTGCCAGATGTTGGGGCGGTGGCGGCGGGAGCTCCAGAGAGCTAGAAGCCACCGGGCAAGGCGAGGAGTGAGGGAACCGCTGGCCGGCCAGCCCAGCCCTCTTTGTACGGCTCCCGCCTGGGTTCCAGGAGGAACTGGCAGTCTTGGTGGGGGTTCCAGCACGGAAATGCACAGCGCTCGGCTTGACAGCTTCCTCAGCCAGCTCCGCTGGGAACTGGTGAGGCTTGGGAGAGGGTGTGGTTCAAGAGGACGTGTGAGGTGCCAGGCTGCCGCCCGTCCAAAACAACCAATGGGTGCGGGATAGTCCCAGTGTGCCCATCCGAGACGGGATAGGGGCGGGGTGGCGCGGCGCAGACAGCCCAGATGGCCCGCGTCTGCTCTAGGCATCAGGTAACAGCCGCCCAGCTGGCTGTGCTGCTGGGGCGGATGGTGAAGGAGGATGGATGTGGTGGAGGCTTCTTTTGGGACAGAGCATGGGGCGGCAAGGGACTAAAGAGGTGCTATAGCTGTTGTGAACGCCCCCTACCTCAGGCTGGCTTGACCTCCTTCTTCTACCCTATACCTAGCAAACACTGTCTTTCTCTGAAAGACACTTTGGGATGTGGAGAGCTGAATTCCCCAAGAGACATGGTATGCACCTCCAACCCTGGGCAGGACCTACTTCCCTATTCACGTCTACAACCCTGCCCGCCCTGGTGGCGGGTGCCAACTTGCCCAGCCCTGCGTGCTGCAGCGTGCAGGATTGCCACCACCAGGTCTGTGGATGAAAGCCACACATGTGCCAGCGCCCCCATGCTGGCCCTGTGCTCACTAGCATCCTTGCTACCCAGCCCAGCAGGCCTATCAAGCCCTCCTGGATCCTCTGTTCTCAGGGTTGGCCTTGCCTGAGGGCAGGCAGGGATAAAAAGCAGTATCTTTCCAACTTTTGCCCTCTCTTCCTCTCAGCTGTGTGGCCGGGACACAGGTTCACCCCCAATGCCTGGTCCTCTACAACCAACCCCCAAAACAGGCCTGGGTGTGCGGCCCAGCCACCAGCTTAGGGCCTCAGATGCCTTGGAAGAGGACTCTGTCTGCTGTGTGGAAGAAGAGGAAGAGGAAGCAGTGGTGACAAAAGACAGGGGTGCAGCCTTAGGGGGCCCCAGAGAACATGCACTGGACTGGGACTCTGGCTTCTCTGAGGTATCAGGCAGCACATGGCAAGAAGAAGAGCTGCCTGTATCCCAGCACCCAGCACCCCCAGCATGGCCCACTCATAACCAACGCCTCTCTTTCAGTGGGCTCCCCCTTCCCAGCAGGGCCCCTGTAGCCAGGGCACCACCTGTACACCGTCCACGCCCCAAGTCCACTCCAGATGCCTGCCTGGAGCATTGGCAGGGACTGGAAGCAGAGGACTGGACAGCAGCTTTACTGAATAGGGGTCGTAGTCGCCAGCCCCTCGTGCTGGGGGACAACTGTTTTGCTGACTTGGTGCACAACTGGATGGAACTGCCTGAGACAGCCAGTGAAGGGGGGGATAGAGGTGGGCACCGTGCCCGTGCTCGGCCCCCACAGTTCCTGCTTGGCCTCTCGGAGCAGTTTCGGCGCCGGCTGGCCAAGGCTCGTCGGGCAGCTATCATGGGAAAGCGTTTGTCATGCCCTCCTTGCCCGGAACCCGAGCTGCCTGGGGACATCTCACGTTTTGTAGCTCTCATGAACTGCCGTAGCCGCCAGCCCATCATCTGCAATGATGTCAGCTACCTCTGACCCTGCCCTCCATTCTGGGATAATAAAGGCCTTTTTCTAGACTGTTCTGACTTTTTACCTCTAAGGATTCAGGAGGTAGCCCCCACCCTAGGATGGACAGGCCAGTCACGCAAATCTTCTAAAGAGCTTTTTCTCTTCCTGTGAGGGCCTTGTTATACCATGTCACACCCGTGTAGATTACTACCTCATGTTCTATCATCCTCCTCTCCACTATGCTTTCCTTCAACAAGCATTTATTGAATGCCTACTGTGGGCTCAAGATTCAGGGCTTGGGATGCAGGGCTCAGTTCCTTGAGCCAGCTGATAGAGGTGGCTGCCTTGTCACAGCTCATAGTGCAGAGGTGGGAAGGCAGTGTCCTCCTTCTCACCCTCACAGCTCAGCTCCAGGACCAGCACCCGCAGCCCAGGCTCAGGCACCCAGCCTGTCACCCGCTGAACCAGTTCTGTTATCCTGATAGGGGGTGGAGTTTAGGAGAGATTGGGTAGGTGAGCAGACATAGGGCAGCCTGGCAAGGACTAGCAGGCACTGTCAGGCCATTAGGAGCCCAAGCCAAGAGCATAAGCAGCTCAAGACAGGAAACATCTGAAACTATTTTAAGAGGATTTGGCCAGCAAGCAGGAGGCAGGAAGCCACGAGTCCCCTGGGAGTGAGCTGTGAAAGGGGGGCTGTGCAAGGTGGGAGGAAGCCAGTGGGGCTGGCCAAGCAAGCAGCTCAAGGCTCTTACTCAGGCTCTCACCCCTTGCCCCACCCCCAGCCCATTTGCTGGCTCCATTTGGTGAAAGAATGCTTCAAGAAGGTGTGAGGGGCCCAGGATGGGATTGAAAAGAGAAAAGGCTGTATGTGTCCCCCCC